TGGGGCGGCGGCCGCCGCTGACCCCGTCGGGCGCGGCGGGGGCCGCGGGCGAGCGCCGCGCCGGGCCGCGGCCTCGGCCGCGGCGCGGCGGCCGCCGTGCGCGGAAGGGCGCGGGAGCCGCGGGCGGCGCCAAGCGTGCGCGAAAGGCCGCCTCCTCGGCCGCCTCGGCCTCCTCGCTCCCGCGGAGAGGCGGGGGGGAGGAAGAGGAGGAGTCTTCGGGAGCCTGCTCTCGGCACACGTCGCCTCGATCCTTCTCGGCCTCTTCGTCGCCGTCCTCCTCCTCCTTCTCGGCCTCCTCTTCTTTCCCTCCTCCCTCCCTCCTCTTGGCCTTCCTTGTTCTCCCAGATGCCCTCGGGGCTTCTTTTTCCCCAACATCCTGTTGTATTGGGTCTTCGTTTTGAAGAGAGCGCCCCGCATGTCACTCTTTCTTTCCTTCCCCTCCCTCCTCCCATCCCTGCCTCTGCCCTCCGCATGTTCAGTTCGGCATACTCATCACACGTTTCGTGGGCCCACGGGCCGACGGGTAGCTCCGCCGAAGGCCCCCGTGGCTGCGTCCGCATGGCGGCACCGCACCCGTTTCGGCACCCCCCTCATACGTTTCGTGGGCCCATTGGGTAGCTGCGCCGAAGGTCCTCGATGCAGCGTCCGCATGGCGGCACCGCACCCATTTTGGCACACCTCTAACACGCTTCGTGGCCCCATAGGGAGTTTCGCCGAAGGTCACATTGGCAGCATTCGCATGGCAGCACCGAGCATACTTCTGCTCACCCCTCACACGTTTCGTAGCCCCATAGGGAGCTCCACCGAAGGCCCTAGTGGCAGCGTCCGCATGGCGGCACCGCGCCCATGTCGGCACACCTCTCACACGCTTCGCGGCCCCATAGGCAACTTCGCCGAAGGTTCCAGAGGCAGCGTCCACATGGCGGCACCGCACATAGTGACTCGTAGAGTTTCTCCGAAAGCGTAGCTGCAGATGATAGAGCATTTTTTACACACTGGCAGGCTAGTTGGCCAAGCAAATCTCGACTGACCTTTTGATGTGCAGAGAGGGTAATTGAACATCGATATCTCGTGACTTGACAGTTCGTTTGTGGTTGGACACTTGTTTCAGGACAGCTAGTTTTTAATTCCGATCCACCGTCTTAATCTCAGCTCAATATTATTGTTTCGAAGGGGGAAAGTATGAAGGCGGCAATTGGTGCTGGAACAATATATTCTGCACTCGTGCAGTGGTTCGACTTGATCTCGATATTTGCAACAGTTACAGAGCTCTCCGGTATACGAGCCCATCGGGCATAATCGATCGTTTTGAAATGCAGCCTCCAGAGACCTAAATTCGGCCATCTGCTCGAGCAATCTCTGGAACAAAAAATAATACCACTCTTCAGCTGCTCTGCTGCTGCGTCGAACCGTTTTGTAATACATGAATCTCGCGATTCAGACAATCCTCAGGGCTAGGCCCTCTAGGGATCGCTGGCGTGATCAATAGCTTGTATTTCGCCGTGCCGAGAGATTGGAGCGTGAGGTATGTTCGAAACATTTGTATCACTCTGGAACTGTTCTGCTGCTTCGAGCGGTGTGTTCCCTACACTGTCGGGGTCCACGGGGGGCTGCAGGGCTCTCTTTCGTGGGGAATGCGGGCGTGCTCACGCGCCTCGCTCTGCAGTCTGGAGGGGCCTGGGCTCGGTCTGCTCTTCGAGCTGAACCCAAACTAGTGTTAAGTCGGGCATGTCCCTCCACAGGAGGAGTATTCAAAAATGGTAAGGGAAATCATGTGGGGACGCTTTTTGAGCATATGTTGGCTATGTTTGGATATGTTTGAGTATGTTTTAATTTTTCCGCCCAAAATCCGCCTGTAGGGGGACATGCCCGACCTAAAACTAGTGTGACCTTGCAACTGTTCTGCCGCTTCGAACTGCATGTTTTCCTGAATCTCGCGAGGTAGGGCAGATTCGCAGCGTTCCCGCCGAGGAGACGCGGGCAGGATTACCATCTTTGCTTTGTAGTTTCGAGGACACTGAGTTCGGTCTGCTACTCGAGCTAGAATCCAAAAACTACGATCACTCTGCAATTATTCCGCTGCTTTGAGCGGCATTTGCACTACACTCCGGAATCTCGATCAGCTACGGAACTCTCCCGCAGAGAGAACGCGCACGTGAATAAGAGCGTCTCTCTGCAATTCTGAGATATTTGCGCTCGATCTGCGATTCGCCATACCCCCGAAATCACTCGTATTAGTTTGCATTTGGGGTGTTGCTTCGAACGGTGTTTGTAGTAAGCCTAGCGCTATTATTGGGCAGTTAGGAAGGCCTCCCGCAGAGGGAACGTGGGGATGATCAATAGTTTTGCTTTGCAGTGTCGGGGGACCTTACTTCGGTCTGCTATTGGGGTTAGATGCGAAAAAGTTGTATGACTGTGCGAGTGTTCTGGTGTTTCGAGCGGTGCTTCTTCTTATCGCGGGATATGGGGCAACTTTATTTCACGTCGTGGGAAAGATATTGTTTTGCTTTTCACCAGTTCGCGAGGCGAAGCTCGGAGAGTTTCCCTGCGGTAGCCAAGGTTGACGCCTTACCGCCGGCGCCCAATTCGGCTCACCCATCACACGTTCCGTGGCCCTGTTAGCTAGGTAGCTCCGCCGAAGGCTCTTTGTGACAGCGTCCTTTGCGGCACCACGCCCATTTCGCCACACCTCTCACACAGTCCGTGGCTTTATAGGGAGTTCCGCCGAGGGCTCCAGTGCCAACTTCAGCATGGCGGCTCCGCACCCAATTCGGCTCGCCCCTCACACGTTTCGTGGCCCCGAAGGGAATTTCGCCGAAGGCCCCGTTGGCAGCGTCCGCATCGTGGCACCGCGCCCATGTCGGCGCACCTCTCACACCATTCGTGGCCTCGAAGGGAGTTCCGCCAGAGGTCCCAGTGGCAGCGTCCGCATGGCGGCACCGCACCCATTTCGGCCCTCCTTCGTCTCACCTGCCTCGCGACACTCCTAGCTGCATATTGTTGTGTTCTTCGCCAGGGTAATGCACAAGAGGCCTACGCCATCTCGCCGACCCTCAGACGAAGTGAGGCCTCGTGGGCGTCTTGGCGGGCGCCTTGAAGCCTCGTCACAGTTCCCTGGGCGCTTGCTGGCTGTTTCTTGGACGCCGTCGCGCGCATGGGATGCCTTCAAGTATCCAGGTGCGTGGGAGGAGTGGCCGCCGCGGAGTCGCTACTGCGCGCATGGGGCTCACTTGTCCTGCGCTTCTCGGGGGGAGCACTGAAATATGTTGCGGGTCGCGCGTGAAGCGATATGCTCCCGGAGTGACGTCGCGGATGGTCGATATAACCTTTTCCATTTTAGGATTCGGAGAATGAGGGAGAAGGATGACAAGGATGAAATAGGTAACGACGACTGCGAGAGGAAGGAGAAACAGGACGAGGATATCGAGGACAACGGCACGATGTGTAATGTTGTCCGTGTTCTGTTTGAGCTCCCCCTCGTGCAGCTTGGGCGTTTTGGGGGGAATTCTCGGGTGCCTTGGGGGGGTCTCGTTTGAGTTTTTTTAGCGCTTCCTGGCCTCATGGCGGCATCTTCGGGGCCTGCTGGCGGCCCAGGTGGCGGCCTCTTGGAGCTTTGTCGAGGCTCCCCGGTGGTTTGGGGGGCCCTTTGGGGGCCTCTTGGAGCCAGTTGGAGGTCTTGGGGGGCCATCTTCTGGGGGAGGGCTCCCAGGGCCGCTGCGGGTTCCCCTCTTGGGCCTCTCTTGGGCTTTTCTTGGGGCCACATTCCGGTGTTTTTGTTGCCGTCTTGGGGGCCTCTTGGGCCGTCTTGGGGCCCTCCCTGGCCGTCCCCGGGCCGTTTTGAAGGTCCTTCGGGCTGGCTTGAGCCAGTCTGGGAGCACTCTTGGGCCGACGTGGGCAGGTAGACGCCAGAGAGCCGAGAACGCGACAATCATGCATGCAACAGCTCACGGGAAATCAAAGTTTTGCCCCTTGAGGCACTCTGGTGGGGGGGGTCCTCTTGGGGTTTTCTTTCGGCGTCTTCGGCCGTCGTGAGACTACATTGGGTGTTCTGGAGACCTCTCCGGCGTATTGGAGCTTTTCTGGAGCCATCTTTGAAAGCATCTTGAAATCTTGGCGGCCACGGAATGTAGATTTGCAGGTTTTGGAGGCCTCAGGGGTGCGTTCATGAAGGACCCCCGCTCCCCCCTTCAAGCGCGATTTTGGACCCTGGGGGAGGGGGAGAGGGGGAGGGGGACAGCCAACTGTTTTACACGCATTTTCACCGCGGGTAAGCGGGGGTCGGCGAACTCGTTTCGCGGACGGTCAGAGCTCAGGATATACGCTTGCAGTGACAAGGAGGAGGAGGAGGAGGAGGAGGAGGAGGAGGAGGAAGAGGAGAAGGAGGAGCAGGACCAGTGTAACTCCAAGGTGCATCAACAATGTTTCAATAATTCCTCCCTCCAAGCTCCCTCTTCATAGGTCCCTACAAGAAGTCATTATCATTGCGGGAAGTGGCCCATTAGAACACAATCGTGTGAGACTCCTCCATCAGCCAAAACATCTTTCTTGCGACTTCAACTCCGCGGAACAACGTGAGTGCTACGTGCTGGCAGTTTTCGATCGTGCCAGAACACCATTATTGGGTCTCCAACACAGTCAATCCGAGTAACTGTTGTGCCCTGACAGGCCTAAATCGTGCCATAATGCCATTCCTGGGACTTCGACCATACGGATCCTTGAAACTGCTGTAAGCCTTTATGACGAATGTCTGCGGCGCTCAGGCGAGAACCGCGTTTTGAAAAGTAGCCCCACTCGATCCGTGAAGCTGTAGCAGTCTTGAGACCAACGCTCGATGCGCTAAAGCGTGAGGCACATTTTGAATACGGCCCGCCCTCCATTTTGAGATTTCGCGTCAAAATTTTAAGACGAATGTGCGTGTCGCTAAAGCGACAGCCACACTTTGGATGATCATACATGGCGAGGAAGTCTCGTGCGAAATGCCCAGCCCACCCTAATTACCG